CAAAAGAATAGTTCTTCGTAGTAAATCGCTTCTAAAAACGTTATAGTTTTACAAGAACAAAAGTCGTTATAGGAAAGGGTCGGACTAGCGGGACGGCGATCTACGAGATTCATCGTGATTCCAATATTTACCCTGAGTCGGATCTGCTCCGATCCCAGGGGTTCAGTTCAAGAACGAGGATTTCGTGTCAGCAAATCCGATGTCCCACCTAGCTGCTTTTTAGAGACGGTTCAAGGAACTGCATCGGCAACGCCGTGAAAAATCTATTATTGTGTCCGGGGATCTCTGCGCTTCTGAAATATTGAATTCGTTTGCTTTTACGGAATCCTACAAACGTAGATATACTTTCTTGTTATATTCAATAAGATACCACGAATAGAGTAACTTTCGAATGTGTATTACATAGTTACTTGCCGAGGTAGTAGAAACGTGTAATAGGTAGCCTGATCAAGCGCGATAAGTAGATTGTGAATTTTTATATATTTAAGAAGTTTAAAGGCGAACAAATATATAAAATACACGTAACGCGTCAGAAATTATCTAAGATGGCTACTTATTTTTTCAATATTTAGGGAGCGGAGAGAAAGTCTCTACGAGGGTTTTATTTTCTTAGTTGTGTCTAAAAAGATCTTAATTTGCGCGAATATCAATAGTCAGACGAAATACAGAGACGATATACAGTGAAATTTATGCATCGTGTGTCTTACAACGAAACAGGAAACGTTGGCAAATCTGATTTTAATTCATCGGTTGGTTTATACGAGAGACGGATGAAAATGTCGAGTAACCGGAGAATGGAGATGCTCGATGACTCGAAAGAGAAAACAAAGTCCTCATCAGAGACACGTAGTACTTGCTCGAATAACTAGATACGTAGTGTCCAACCGATGTACATTCGCAAACGCAAAACGTGGTTTACTGCAGCCGTTAACAAAGTTTAATATCGTTCTATATTCGCTTAAAAAATATAGGTTTCAAATATAGGAGTATGGAAAATGTCATGTCCGGAAATGTAAAATCAACCAAGTTATAATTATTTGGAGGGAACGAGAATCGATAATCGAGGACGTATTTCTAGGTATGTGCACGTGTACTTGATTTCGTTGGTAACCGTTGAATTAATAAATCTGCTCAAGTTAAATTTCGCTAGAAAATTGCCTGCTAAATGTTGCAACAGCGCAAGGTTTCGTGATTTGCACACCTTGCACAGTTTGCCATAAGAAACACGTGACGTGGCAGAGATGAAACAGGGATGACGTTTGAGGGCAAAGGGTTGAAACAAGTAAATCTTGTCACGACGGCGACGCGACGCGGTGTTTCTCTCTTCCTTCAAACGCTTTTTAAAGAATTCGTTTTGGCTATTTTCGTCGTTGTTCTTTCCGAGCGCGCCATGAAATGTTCCCCTTGTTTAACGAAATATCGCTCTTTATTTTATCGTTACTTTTTCTTTCTTATCCTTTTTTATCTTCTTCGCTCGTTCTTTGTGGATAAAAAAGGACGGAACATTTTCAATTTCGCAAGTTGCACTCATCGTGCTATTACAGAGACACTATGCTTTTGTATAACTATGAACATTCGCGCATCGCTAAACGTAGAATAAACTAAAATAATTCTGGCAAAGGCGAAGATCTGAAGAGCGTAGAAGTTTTACTTATTTACAACTAATAGAACACGAAATTTCCTTATTTCGATAGCTCTTATGTCGAACGAGCATCTATATCCAGTCACGAAAGTTTAGCGTTTTTAACGCTATTAAAATTAAAGGATTTCGTCGTAACATTTTTATGAGATAAATGTAAACATTTTTTTAAATTCCTGCTAGAAATTTGTTAATACATCGAACAAGGTCAGAGTTACTTCGTATCGATATGTTAGCTTAAAAGTATGCAAAAAGTTCTATGGCAAAACGTGTTTTCTTCTTTCCATAGATAAATCATGTTATTGTCATTATCGGTAGCGTTTGAATAATAGAATCACGAAAAATCTGGTATTCATTGTATTATCACGCGAAGACATCCTAAAATTCCGAGTATCCTGCATCGCGTGTCTAGTGTGTATTCTGAACTTAACCCCTTTCTTAGGGTGCGCCCTAGAAACTTATTGCAGAAGCAATAAACTACCTTCTCGAGCGCACGATTGTCGACTTTTCTGTGCTTTTAGTAACCCGCTCGTAATGGTGACGAACGTGCCACCTCCTATTTCATTTGATGAAATCCTTTGTAACCGACTCGAGAGATCATAATTGACGGATATGGTAACAGTATCTTTAGGTTGCCGATCTTTTAAACGTTACGTCCTTGTAACAAGCTTCGTAACGGATGAAAGAGTTTCTTTGAAACACTTCTTCTAGCGACTGGAAATTTGTTCATCCGTGTTTAAATCTGCGCTAGAGATATTTAGTTACTCGACGCTAGAATTATTGTCCAAAGTATAAAAATACTGACAAAGATATCTAAATGAAAGGGTATTTTATTACCAAAAACCGCTCAAATTTACAACCATGCGCTATCGCTGATCTATAGGGCTGCTATCGCAAATTGCGAATGCATGTCAAAGAAATTGGAATGAAGTAGGTGGCTATCTGATGTAAAATAGTTCGCAGTAGTTTTGTAATAAGTAATTGCTACTCATTCTAGATATAGAAGGATACGCGTCTTGGATCGGTATTTTATTAGTTTTATTACGCTGGTGAAAAGTTAAAAACCTAGTTCTAGTCGATATTGTAAAGCTCCTAACAAACGATAATATAAAAGACGGCCCACCACGCTGTAACGTGGCACGAAGCGGTTTATACCATCGTACATTTCCACGACACGGCTGGCCGATCGAGCGCACGTGCGCAAATCGATTCCCCGCAGCATCGAGATGAACGAGGAATGACGTGTACGGTTTGCGTAATCCAATAATCAAGCTTTAACAGTTTATCGCAATCGCGCACCGTTCGGTTTATTCTCAGGATGACGAAAAAAGAGAAAAACGACGAGAAAAGACTAAAAAAGAAAGAAGAAATGCCGAGGAGGAAAAAATGTTATTCCCTTTGTGGAGTTTGCACGAAGGCAAAAGCCGAGAAAGCACCAACCCGTGATACATATTTATGAAAATGTTCATTCGAAAGTTCGACATTCAAATGGGACGGTTTTCAATTGCAGGCGGGAAAGTTTTTTCTCCGCGCGGCGAGAGAAAAAAGCTGCCCGCTGTTTGGATAACGGCTGGCTCGACTTTCCACGTAGAAATATTGCAACATTTTCGGACATACGAATCCATTTTTGTCCTTTCTACCGCGCTTTAATAGGTTTCGCGGCAGTGTATTTGCGTTGCAAAGGCCGATGAAAGTTTCGTAAAAATCGGCTGAGCGCATGAAACGCTGTTAAGTTCGTCGTACTGCCGATGGAGGGTAGTAGGATAGCTATTTCCGGATATCTGATACACTTCCTAATAAAAAGATACGGTAACAGCGTAGTAACGGTAACTAATGGAACACGAACATTTCGTACATTTAACAGTAACACGTACCTGTAAATTTTAAACGAATCGTAGATCAACGAATTGCTAAGTAATAAATAGTTAATAAATAGCAGCTTCGAGAGGTGTCTCGTTATCGGTGTTTATTTACCAGTGACAATTGTGTTTTCGATTTCATAGAGACTTTGAGACTTTTTCCAAATACGGCGTGCTCCTTTCGGTTCGACAACTTAGACCCGCATCCTTACAAACGAAATCCAAATCTCAGTTTCAGCTGATAATAGTTTTGACAATAATGATAAAATAGTACTTTGTGCGTATTATATAATCAGGTAGTGGATTTCTATGCGTTTATACGAAATTTAAAAGTACGAAAATGAATTCGTGTAACGCGCAAACACATATATCGAGTATTTAAGATAAAACGTTTGTCGTAGTCTTCGATAGGTAAAACGAATCTCCATTTCTTTAGTATAGTTTAGTATTCGCATAAAAATTCTTGAAAGCAGTGTATTCGGAAATGATGGAAATCGGCGACGAAGACGAGTTTATAAATACGTTAGCTTATACCTTATAAAAAATTGAAAGTAAGTAGCTTTGTATTTGATACGTAAATACCAGAAATGGAGGAAATCTTAATGACGAAGAAATAATTATTTTGTAAATCATTTATTCCGAATTATTTGTCATCTTAAATATTCGATGTACATATACATGTATATGTACGCATTAATCCTGAGTTAATAAGAAATCGAGGTATTGAACTGAGAAATAATCTTTTTTATTGCTTCAATGATTATCAGCAGAAACACGTAGTGCGATAAAATGTGGTAAATGACTGCTTCGAAATATTTCTGCGCCAGTTTTATGGTACGTTTAAAAAATTCAGATATAACTTGAGACATAAATTTTGATACTTTGTGGTGGACAAAGTTTCGACAGAAACAATGGATAGATTTATCATATTACCGTGTTAAAAATTATTCTGTTTAATATAGAGTTTCTGTTGTCTTTTACTTTCTAGATAAACAACAAACGAGGTAACGATACGCGTTGATTAACCAGCGATTCAAATTTAACGAGCTTAATGAGAGAAGTAGCAATAATTAATACAGGGGCTTGCGTTCAAACTTCCTTTATTGGCTTTTATACGAATTTATAACATGGTTTTTAATATGCTGAACATAAATTTGCTCTTATACCCGCTAGACACACAGTGATCGTCAAGCTAAAAATGCTATGGTAGAATTCGTCGTTATTTGATAAACTTCGTTCCGAAAAAATTCGATGATTATTGGTTAATCGCGTCGAGAGTCTTTAGAACGAGAAGGATTGGATAATTTGACGAACGAAAAGACGAAAAAAACGTGGAATAACTTACGGACAAGGCTGCGCATAAAATACGAACTGACTCGATCGTCCAACCAAGCCAGAGCATCATTGGCTAGAATCTGCTCGATTCTAACACCGATGTTCTTTATTCGCGTCAATCAACAGCGCGATCATAACATACGCACAAGGAGTAGAACCTAAATAACCCGTAATCGGTTTCAAACGTTCTCCGCTAATCCCCTGGATAACGAATGAATAGTAAATACGACGTTGGAGCTTCTCACACCGTTTTCTAACATTTATCTGTTCAGCGGGGGTTGAACAAGGGGAATAGCCTGTAGTGATCAGAGCGTGGCAGGAGGGGGTATGAAAAGTGGTCGGAGAATGCTTTAAGCCAAACTGGAGCCGAAGGGTGGCGAAATCGCACGAATCGTGCCGACCCGAACCGAAAGCTCGGTTGCCCCTGTCAGTAGGCCTGCCGCAACGCAGCAGTGAGCGCGCCTTCTACCACGCGCTGAGATTACGCGACTTTTTCCCTGAATTCCGTCGATATTCGCCATACTTCCACTGATTTTCCCTACCGATACGCTTCGCTTATTATCCGTTGGTAAAACGATCGTAACACGAAACAAATTATTGCCCTTAAAACTCGTGATTCGTCGTATTGGTGCTATCTTTCGTATTTTGTGTACGCCTTTAACGTAATTGTACAGGTCTGTTTTACAGCTCGAGGTAATTGCAGAACAGTGAATAGGATGGAAATTAGGTCTGTTGGAACAAAGGAATATAATTAGATGCAATCTGATACCTCTTTACAAGCGGTTGTCCTTGTTCTTGCGTTTCGATGGAGCATTCCAGCGGATGAATAAAAATCCATCGATTCCCAGCAAACGACCTTAATCGTTCGTATTTCCAGCGGGACCAAGAGTTACCAGTACTTTGGAGGCTACTGGTCGTAGAACCGTATCCAGGACGAAAACGAGTTTGTAACCGTTCGCTCGAACAGAAAGTAGGAGTTCTCGTTGTTGGTCGTTAGTTTTGATATTCGTGGGTCTTGGGTGATCGTGGCGATCGAAAAGATAGTGGAGTCGTCGTCTTCACCGGACGTAGCGGGATTCCGATACATCATGGTGAACCATAAAGCGACTCCGATGACATCCCATGTACCCTCCGAGGCGATCGTATCCGATGGACCCTAATGACACCGGTTCGATGTTATCATCAGCATCGTCGGGGTCGTCTATTTCCGTCGCTTGGAACAGCGCGTCCTACGCGGCCAACTTGCGCTGAAAAAGGGCAGCGTTACGTCATTATCGGCGAACGATGACGGCAAGTCGTGTGATGTGTAACCGTGTATGAAGCGAGCGTTAATGGACCGTGGACGGAGCGTACGATTAACCGATCGAGTAGCTCCATTAATAACGACGAAGACGTTTTATAGAGAACGCACGCAGTTGCATCGAAGGGGATGACCGAGCAACTTTAAAAAAAAGACGAAGCACCCTCGTCGAGCCGCATTCTCGTTCGGTCGTTTCGTGAATGAACCCCGTTCGATCCGTTTGCTCGACACGCGCCTGTGCATTATTCTACGCGTGTGTATGCGGTCGTTTACGGTCACGGTAACGCGAAAGTTGATCGACGGTTTTCTCGTCTCTGGCAAGCTGCGCTATCGTCTATCATCCGACGTCGATGAACGTTGTCCAAGTTGTACGTACGTAAATATTCGGGTTTATTCGTTCGTGTCGATAAGTTGGTGAAAAGAAGTTAGAAGTAGAAGCGGTAGAAATCGCGATGTGAAGTTACAGAGAAGCGAGTGTGCTGTGTGAAGTTGGCGCGACGGTGTGCCACGACGAATAGCTTCTGGAATCCCAGAAGACGGAGAGAATCGGTTCGCAGGCGAAGTTGCGACTCAACCTATCGGAGAACTAGATTCATTGAAACTTATCAGCTATCTCGAGCAACTTGCTATCCTGGAGTTAAGGTGTTGGATATTCGAGGGGGAGCAGGGGGATTCGCCAGGACTCGTCTGTTCAATTACACACAGTCCCAGGATGAAGGGGATGCTTTTGCTGATGAGCACGCTGGTTTGGTTTGTTGCGGCGGAAGTTTTCCTTGGCGATGTCGACGAGCCGAGTAAGTAACTGAAACTTCTGATTCCCAACCAACCACGTACCTAGCAACTATATTAAAATAGAGCTGTAATTGTATTTGCGATTATAAGCAATTTTCAACGACACGGTCGTAAAGACTGTACATAAAATACCGGACACACGATGTCTGTAAGATGGCCGTATAACGCGTAGATTTTGTCTCGGCAGACTGTCTGGCTGTCATTTTAAACACGGTCTGACGTGACGATATTCGTATCGAAATCTTTTTCTAAGCGATGTATCTCGATCCATCTGCACACCTCTAACTTTGATCATTTGCAAATATTTTGCGACGCCGTGCTCCGCTTAATATTCTGTTTCATTCTACTCCTTTCTCTTGTACGGTATATAAACCATATATGTACATGTTCGCTGTTGCAATTTGGTTCACCGTGAAATGGGTATGAAAGTTTTAGTGACTCGATATACGTAACGATAAATATTTTATAGCTACATTTTCGATTTTCCTATTTTTGCTTAACGAACGTCAGTTTTTGACTCTCAAAGAAGTCTTTGAGCAGGAAGGAGCTTTTAAAACGAAGATAACTTTACAGGCAAGCTGAATAATTCTGATGTCTAATTTTTAATAAAAGCTATATTACACGCGATAACATTTAAAATCCAAACTATCCTCGACAGTTTGCCCAAATATCTCTCATAAATTAAATTATACCTACTCATCGACTACAGACTGGTCGATGTAAACCGAGACTCGTACCACGAATAATTAATACACGATATCCGGGCAAAATTGCGAGAAATGATTTTCTAAGAATTCGCAACCCATCCGATATTCGTCGTCGCGACGGTAATAAAGCTGACCGAAGGTAACCAATAAAAATCTGTCGATCGTCAAATGGAACTTTACCCGACGAACGATCGCGCGAGGGGCTGTCAGCCGTTGCTGAAATTCTCACTGGTCGCGACGAATTTAACGTGATCCGTCAAAATGTTACGGGAAACGGCGCGATCGTTGCAATTACGCTTCCAATTAATGCCGAAAGACAACTGGCCGCGGTGTCAGTCATCCGTAATGACGCTGTCGGCAGGCTCATAATCGTTATGAAGCATTTATGGCTCGTGATGAGGCTGGCGCTCGTGCACGATGACTGACGGTGTATATGTAGGCGTAGGGGACGGGTTGGTAGAAAGGAAAAAGAAGGGAGGAGGGCGCGTTAATTTCAATACGTTCGATGGTTGCTACGATATACGTGGACAGTGTGGAGAATTCGGCTGTCAATAGTTGTTTTGCGGCCGGCATGCTTCGGTTTCCGTGCTCTACGACATCGTACGGTACCGCAACCCGTTTATTTAATCGATGCATTATGCAAATTGACATAACGACTCCACTTCGGATGCAGTAATCGACCACCATCTCTCGACTGATTCACAATGGGACAATGTGTACGTTGAATAATTGGCAGTAACGTGTGTTGCGGCTGCGGCTTCGAAATCAAAGCTACTGAACTCCCTCAGGACTCGGAAAGCGATGGACACGAGCGCATCTCTTCGGTATAGATACTTACTTACTTACTTACTTACTTACTTACTTACTTACTTGGCAGACTTAGAGACGCTAGAAAGTTACGAGCTTTGAAATGTTTGTTTCTTCGAGAACAAGTTGGAAATGGTTTAGTTCTGTAACTAGTTGGCGATGTAAGATCAAGCCGATCTTTACATTAGCCGGAAGAATTTCATTTAAAAGATTGGATTTGGCTGTGATTGTACGGTCTATACTACGGTCTATACGTACGTACTTGGAATGTCGAATACGTATGAATACTATAGAAATACTAGGTTGGCCAGGAAAGTTCTGTTGTCAAACTTTGGTAGAATATTTGTAACTTTATTTGCAGGTTTCCATAAATCGCAGATAGTTAGCGTGCATGTACCGTACCGTTGAATGTATCTAAATGTTGTACATAATAAAATAAATTATAAATAAATTGTACGCGAAAAGGACGGTGTAACATTGTGAGAGAAGTTATAGTGGCTGTTGAAAATTTGATTAATAAATTATTCCGTCAAAGAATGAATTTTACGAGTTATATCGCGCACAAGTATCAGATAAAGTAAGTTGCGACGGCTGGTCCATCTCCAATAGATGGATAGTTTGTTTAAATCTTTAGAAAAATACTTATACGTACCTACTCGTGAAACTGTTTGAATTCTTTCAAGTCTTTATAGCTCGTTTAGTGTTATCGATGCAAAGTTAACAGTTGACGATGACAATGACCAGGAAGAAAAGATACGCGTGAAACTTTCATTAGCTTCCATCACGAATTGATCGATACATTGCAAAGGTTTAATTAATCCAGGTAATGAAGGTAACGACTAAAATTTATAAGCGTTATACCTGTGTTAAACGATGTTGACCGACACAGGTGATTATTAGAGAAAGTTAAACATACGTATAGTTATTAAATTGCACATACGGTAGACATAATTAGTGCATTATGCGTCGAGAGGTTTCGAACCTGCCTCTTTGAAGGCGCTTTAACCTTAATTGCATGAAAATTGACACGTCACAAGGTGAATAATTCCTCGATGGTTGAATTTATGCTATCTCCATAGTGGTATCCGGCACTTTGTTACGTGCAAATGAATATTAAATTCTATTCTTTGTTTACTAATCTTTTGTAATGAATTTTCAATATTTCAATACGCTCTGTATATCGCAATACATTATATTTTCAAAAAATTCGTATCAGTATTTATATACTTAACGTCGGTTACTCAAAGTATTATATTTGAACTCTTGTTATAGAAAACTTTGATGGAAACGACTATTCGTGCTGTATAGAAAATTTTTATGGTTTTGTAACGTCCGCGATAAATAGGTATCTGTAGTCACGGGCCAGAGTGATATCATACGTGTGCATTCTTTGATTTTTCAGAGACTTAGGATTTTTCTAAATGTCACGACTCAGAGAAAACGAGTCTGTTGTTAAATTAGCTTGTTCTCGTATGTATAATATTCATCGTATACGGATAGAATATCGTCACGATAACGCAAACGCGTACATTCCGGGGGCGAAATGATACCACATTAACGAAATGTATACAGTTGTTTAGAGGCAGAAAACTTCAATCGTAATTACGTAATATGAAATTAACGAGTACGTACATATAATCACCATCGTTCTCTATAGTTCGAAGCAAATGGTGTGGCAAGAATTTGTACGGACTCTGAATACCGTTCTGTGACAGATTATCCGAATACAGCGGATATAATAAATTCTTTCATTTGTCAAATATGTTGTACGCTTCCGCGTATGCTATAGTTACATAGCGATCAAATTACATGCGAGTTCTCCATTGGATCGGCGATATTTCCTCGAATCTCTTCGTACATTGAGCGAAAGCGTTCCAAACGATAATTTATCGTTGCGATAGAAAGATTACTATGTACGTATGTAACACGGTGACGATGGTAACGTGCGCGTGAACCGTGTCAAGGTATCCGTTCTCCGTACACAAACGCGTGTATGCAACAACTTAAGACCTAAGTACATACTTAGCTAGCATTTCTGCTTACCTCTGAACGCGAAATTGCGATAAATTTGCGACATTACGACGCGGCCAAACTCCGTAGAAAACGCGCGATCGTGCAAAAATTGGATCGCGCGCCACAGTCGACTTAGACAGCCGGATTTAACGTATTTCACGAAATATTATATTCCGTGGCCGTTTCTTTTCTCCAGGAGCTTTGATATCGAATAATCTTCGACACGCGAGCCACATACGTACACGTTGCTCGTTAGAAGGTTTTGTCGTAACAACGCGGTGGTAACGTCGTTGTTGTGCGCGGCTCTATCATTTTCTTCGGCCATACTTGATGAAAACATTAGAGTCGTTATAATTTAAAAGAAACTGTACCCAAGAACAGTTGTTCTTTCTTGAAAATTTGTATCATGACGGATATAGAGAACGTTTATCGTGATTTTCCATATGTTAACGGGTAACAAAGTTGTATCGATGGTTATAAATAAACTGCGGTCTTATTACGTATTTTTGAGAAATTGAAATATGTAAATGTAAAAGCAATCAAATTCTCCCAACAAGAAAGAACGAATTGATAGGTTTTTAATAAAGAAATGTTCGCACATACCCAATAGTTTGTTCGCGGAGACTCATTTATATTATCTCCAATCGACAGTTTCATTAAATATACATTGCAAACGAAACTAGCTTTTAGTACGAATTTTCTTCTGTTTCGTAAATGACGATCTTCTGAACAAGCATTTGAAAGAATTTAGTAAAAGCGTAATGGAAATTTTCATTTTCATCGCTATCCCTGTTTGATCTACTCGATATTGGGAAACATTTGCCATACGCGTGAATCTTTTAAACTTCTAATCCCGGCATTTTTAATGTTTCCAACGTTACAGTACATTTAATACGAAAGTTACAAAGCATTGGTTCAATGGAAAATTCAACAACTTTATAAGAGATAAAACATTCTCCTCGGTTTTACCACTCGATACGACCATAAAATTCTCATCGACGATTCGATCATCCCCTCGCTAACTTCAGTATGGTGTTATTACTATATTTGACGTCTTTTCATCAGCGTATCTTTAATTCGGTTTCTTTTTCCACGGACGCGCGTCATCCAAGCGTAAATATTCAAATTAAAATGTTTTATGTAAAACGTGCAGCAAAATGGCAATAGGCTGTGAGAAACGTCTAGAACAACGCAGCATTTCCTTTGTCGCGACAAATTTCAAATAAACGGACAGCTGAAATAATTTCAGCGGCGGCGGACTTTCTATCTTTTAACTGCTTCCGTTTCCGAAGTTTTCTAGCGCGGACAAGGGAAGTTCATAGAACACGAACGCTGCGCTCCATGGGTGTTCCTTGTTCCTTGATCAGGAATAAAGAGGGAGCTGCGAGTACAAACCTCGACGGAAATGGTGGCGAATACGCGGAAGGAGATGACGTTACCCGCGGGACGGTGTTGGCGTGGCGCAGCTTAGTGCC